GAAAAGCCACTTTAAAATTAAATATTCATTTTTTGTTGTTGGTTTAATCATAAAATACCAAAAAGCCACAGTTGGTAATGAAATGAAATAAAGAAAAAGAAAATATATGGAATGAGATTTATTTCTTTTATTTGATGATACGCAATCCAGCGTTTGAGAATACCCATAAATGTATATTTTTTTAATTCTTTTATGTGACATTTATTATCGTACTTTATGTTTTATTTGTTAAATAGCAGACATTTCATATGAATATACATATCTATCATTTTTTTTAATATTTTAATTTTAAACGTTAAATTTACATAAAAGGAATGTCGTATTACTAAAATATATCTATGATAAGTCAAAGTATGTTGTAGAATTTCTTAAACATATTAATTAATTATAATTTTTTTTGCTTCCTTTTTAGATTCTTCGCATTTAATAAAATAATAAATCATATCCACCACAAAAAGGTATGTTTTCATAAATTAACTACTTACATATAAAAATGAAAATATCTTTCCATATTCAAATCCAAATTGCCCTCTTACTGGATTGAGTCTACCTTTACTTTTTGTATCATAGACAAAAATCACATTTTTCAAAATATTAACCTCAGAAATATTTATGGCGGTGTTTTCTTTGTTTTATCTTTCTTGTGGGTCTAGCACAATAGTCGATGGATTTAATTTATCAATTTAATAGAAAATAACATTTCAAGAAGAAAATAATCCTCATAAAAATAAAATAGTCATTCCGTAACCGCAGAGCTTCGTCGGTAGCGTCTTAAGGCTCTTCTCTTTAATACTTTTTGCAGGCAATTACAAAAAAAAAAAAGCACTGAAAATTACATAGGATGAGTGAGCCTAATTATAATATCAACAGTGTACTTAATAGAATCACTTTCAAGCGATTTTCAAATGGAGTGCAATGAACTTTAAGGCATTAACTTTTTCATTAGGTGAGTATTAGCATTTTCTACATTTTTCCCAAAAGAAAATGGATTTAATATAATATTATTACATAATAATCACCTTTTGCCTTTTCCCCAAAATACATGTACAGAGTATTTGGGGAAAAGGCACCCCACGGCGCATTGATATTGCCCTTCAGTGTTGTATTTCGATTCCTTTTTAATTAGACTTTGATGGATGAAGAATATTTTTAAGTAATAATGGCCTTGTGTGTGTTTAAATTATGCCGACGGATAAGTGCTCATTTGTGTGCAATGATGATTCAAAGAGAGTTCCGGCAGTAATAAACAACATCTTACGATTTTCCCTTAAGACCCAGCTGCCCAGTGCAGGCCTCACTCATTAGGCATAAATATAATTATTCCATTTATTACCATTTTACAATATTTATTACGATAAATAATAAATATACGTATATTTATGGTTTGTTTTTTTATTCCTTTATATATATAAAATACTGATTTTAATCTCTTGAAAAAATTAAAAAAACTTGGTCTTTTATTAAACTTTGTGAAATAATAACTGTTTGAAAAGTCATATGAGCACATTTTCCGAATACAGAATATACTTCAAATATACAAAGATTAATATTTTGGATATTTCTATATACATACATACATAATGGTTTCTCTTAATGCTGCAACTACCCAACTCACGTACCTTCCATTCATAGCAACCTATCTTATGAGAGCGCCATGTATACACAAAGTTGTCACCGCTTGCCCATGCCGTTAGTTAGTGACGGTTGTCCCGCAGAAACCAAGGGCGATTTGATTTTATCCGGTTGCCAGTATAAACATTTTTAAAGTAATATGAAATAATCGAAGACAATGCGTAATTTTTATCAATAGAAATGAAAACTAAATTCGGAACTAATTATTTGTTACCATATAGATCATGTATATTTGATTTGCGTTTATATTCGAACACATAAATTATGAAATTTGTTGACGAAAATTAAATATTTGTTCAGAAGTGTGCAAACACACTGGCAGCTGATAATATTTTGCCGCTCTCAGCGACCTCAACAATTGTGTATGTATCTTGCTCTTGACGTCGCCTGTTATGGATGGATGGTAAGTAAAATGGGTAGTTGCAGTCTAAGTCTTTCGTACCCGCATGAGTGCAGTGTGTGCTTAAAAAAACCAGCCAACGAGAGCCAATAAATGTCTACAAGTGTCTAGGCTTGATAAAAAAACAGTAAAATTGATAAATATGTTAAACAAAAGGACAATAGTTGAAAATATTTCAAAATAGAGTGAAGCTTGCCTGAATGAAGTTTTTAAGATGAGCGTTGCATATATCCTTTTATCCTATGTCTATGTTAATATAACTAATAACATAATCATTTAACATAATTTTAAGCTAACAGAAATAATAGCAAAATAATATTTGTGGACGTTAAGATTTGTATTAGTTTAATAACAGTAATAATATAATGAATTAGGTTTGTTGCGGCTGAAAGGATAGTTGTGCGTGTTACTATTCGGAGAGTCATGGGTTCCAACTGTGGCTAGACCCATATCCAAAATTATAGAAAAAAAAAATGTTTTCAACTGTGGTTGTGATCGCCCCAGTTAATGTATCGGAGTGCATTTCAAATGTGAAAAAGCTGCGTTTTCGGCCAAGTTCTTACTCCTATTTGTGGTTATATGCCTTGATGTTTTTTCCAGCAAATGAAGGGACCTACAACATAGGAGGAGCTTCTATTTAATATCAGTAATACACACGTAGGACTTGAGATTCTATGCTGAAAGGCGACACCAAATTGAAAAATTGATTTTCTTAAATTTCGTATGTTGATCGAACCAGCGCTCGAACCCTGGTACTCAACGCTAATTACTCGGCTACTGCGGTCACCATTACTTTTACTTGCCATTAATATAACACGAAAAGTATATTTGGAATGCTATAAATGCCTATTAGTCAAGCAGGGTGGGTAAATATTTAGTCCAGGGTGCCGAAATCATAAGGGTATTGATGGTCTATTGTTAATAAAAATATTTAATTTTCTCATCGCAAGACCCTTTTAAAAGAATGTCTCAGAAATCTATAATAATTATTTGCGAATATTTCCCAAAATTAGCAAAAAATATTTCAATACATATTTATTAGTGTCTCCAGATCGTTTAGTATCTCCAAGTAGAAAAACGTGTTACATAAATTCACAGCATATATTACCATATATGGGCGATATAAAAGAAAAGATCTTTCCAGATATATGAACCATTTCGGGTGCCTTATAAACGATGCAACTACGCAATAATCATTGGAAAAGTATCATATTCTCGTACCGAGAAGTACTGTTAAACAGTGTCCGGTTAGTATGCCAACTGTTGATTAAATTCTTTGATCTTTTAGTGTGCAGCACCGGCCAAAGCTATTTAGTCACGTTCCAATTTCTTTCGTTAAGCTATCTGGTGTTGGCTGTATTTGAAGCACTTTCTTTTGGCTTCGTTGAAAGGTTTTCTGTTATTTTTTCTCAGTTCAGAGATTTGTTCAGTTCAGTTACAAAGTCCACTGCTTCATCAATTTTCGACGTTTGAAACGAGCTCCCGAGAGAAGCGGAAGTTGTGCTAGATGAGATCGCCACATCAGGTCTTAACGATAAGTAGGGTTTATCTCAAAAAGCATTTACTTTCAAATAAACCGATAGTCCAAATTCGCCCAGTCTGTTTTCTTTCTTTTTCTGAACGCAGATATCGATGGTACTCTTAATTTAAGCACAAAAGATATGTAAAGATAGTTTGAGGAAGAGGGTTCGTTGACTACATGTCAAACCTTGATCTGGTCATAAATTGGGTTCGAGGATAATGGAATATCAAGTACCTCTGTGCTAGTAAAGGTAATGAAGGCAGGTCCTCTACCACAGTTACATATTGCTAGATCACCACTGCTAATAAAATCGAGTGTTGATGTCACTAGAGAGCCAGATGGTGTGGTGTGAGTTTGTATCAGCTCCAACAACCAAAGGAAGTTTAATGGTAGGACACGAAAAATAAAAATTTATTATTTTTCAATAAAAAATGATACTTAAGGGTTTTCGTAGTAATTTTCGAATTGTTTTTTTTTTTTTTAACCTCAGATTCGTAAGCAGCAACCCTTAAAAGTCCCTAGGTACAATTTTTAAATAAAATGTATTGAAGTTTAAGCTTTTTTGTACCCCTAGATATTTCATAAACACAGCCCTTGTTCTAAGTTAACATCAATTTCGCGTAGGGCACAATTCAGCCTTTCTAATGCCCCTGGTTTTTTTTTTCGAAAACGAGACGTGTTGAAAGTTTTCCACAGCGGATTCTTATTCAGCCCATTTTATTCGCAAAATCCTTGCAGGGCAATTGAATTTTTAATATTTGTCTGATCGAAATCGGAATTCCTGACCTTCCGCAAGTATGTAACACGAACAATGGGCTGGTGTGGAGACTTGAGTGGTCCGCTACTGCATTCCAGAGGAGTAGTTAAAGAAAAATTTCCCAAATAAATGGGAGATTTGAATTGTTTGTAACGCATTTATCAACATACATATAACAAACCACCAGCAACAGATAATATATATAAGAAATACATATATACCGATCCCTAGCACCGGTAAAAATTAGTAGGCGTGGCTCTCCCCTTTTCCACGAATTTAATGGTATATAACATTTCTTGTGCAAATGAATATTATGGGCGCCAGAGGGTGGGATTTTTTTTTAAATGCACATATTTTTAAACTACTTAACCGATTTTCATAAGAGTGGTACCGCTGGGCAGGTAATTAAAATACCTTTATTTCAATTCCCATATATGCACATATTTATTCCACATTTTTTAATTGCACAGTATTCTTCCCTGGGCGAGGAGTCAGTATTCTGCACTTATATCCAAAAAAATTATATACGTATATACTTATAAGAACTGAGTTAATTTGATGGCTAACAATAAAATTTGTGTGTACACAAAGGTTAAGTGACAGACAAAGGCATAAACATATACGAGTATATAAAAAATATGAAGAAAAAATTTAAACGAATAAAATTTGAAAAGTCAAATGTTCAAAAATCAAAAAAAAAATCATTTTCGTTTTTTATACGGAAATAAAGCAAAATTTTTCTTAGTTTAATTTCAACTTTAGCAATTGCATTTAATACTCAAACAGCGCATAGCTAAAGAACGTTTTTCCGGAAAGCTTATAAATTTTATTTTCCACTTCATGGAAATAAAATTCGCCTTGTTGGATACAGCCTCCGATTTGGTGTTGCTGGGTTTGGTTGTGATGTTTTTGGCCACACTGTTGCAGCTGTTGAAATTAGTCGTGGAGCAGGTGAGTTGAGCAAATGTTAATGTGCCTACTTTTTGCCATTCTCTACTGATTATTGGCGTACAACTCGATGGAATTTGAGCAGACATTGCATATTTTGTTGGCTTCAAGGAAATAGTTACATCTGCAAGGGTCTTCTTGACCACAGATTTGAGGGATTTGTTGAATTTTTACAATAAAGATAAACATTTGAGGAGCGAGTGCTCACAAGAACATTTTGCGAAATACATACATATGTATGTTTTATTATTTTGACACTTGATAAACTTAGAAAATACTTGATCTACTTAATGTTTGAAGTGATGGAGAATTTAGTCAGTTTATGAAATTTACCACTCTCTCTTTCAAAGAGTTTTTACGTCACTTATATTTATTCTTTCAGTCATTGAACTCTTAGCATCATTTGCTAGTAATGTTCATAACCTTTGGTAATTTACCGGTTTTTGATAATCAAATGTTATAATTATTTAGTAATTTTTATTAATATTTAAGTGATTTCATTCCGCATAAAGACTTCAAGAAAGATATTTTAATTACCTATTCTAATTTCTATTGGCTTGGCTTCTGCTTGCATAATTGTTTGGCTTGGTTTGCTTTGGTTAATAGAATGCAAAAGTCATTTAAAATTAAAAGCGACTGCATTTAGGCCAAAGTATTACTTTAAGCCAAAAAAAAAAAAAATTAAATTATTTACCGATAAGCCGCGAGAGTTTTTCTTTATTAATTCAGTTGTTTAATTATTTACTTGCCTTACATTTGCTTTGAGGCTTGAAAACAAGACGAGCTTATTTTCTGACAAGTGTTTCTATTTTTTCGAATAATTTGTTTACATACGAGTACATATGTATTTAGATGAAAGCGGCCACTTCAACCTAACCTACCTATGCATATGTTAAAGCTGTGTAATTAGATTGAAACAAAATATATGAGAGACTTCTGTTACTTCTACTGGTTGAGGGGAGAACCTGTCTTAGAACGCTGGAAATTGCATGATATTCGGCACAGTGTTTTAGGTTGCCTTACGTATGAAATGTTTCAAGTATTTTTGAAATAGGTCACAGATACACAAATCTTGCAAAAAAAATTTACTTTCACTTTATTTAATACTGTTAAGCAATAACAATTCGTATTTGTTTGTGGCACTTCTCGCTCGAAGAGTCTATTTTGTGAACACGATAGCGATCGTAGTTTTCATCTGAAACATAAAAACGAATACTCTTTTTGTAGCTTAGGAGTTGCTCTTCTATGTGAACCTAAGATATTCGAAGAAATGTATAAAATTATTTATATTATGACGTTTTATAAAAATTTTTTTCCTTTTTCTGAAGAAGTTTTAAGATAATTTATTGAAAAAAGTTAATAAAAAAATTTTTTATTGTGATTTTTTAGGTTCACATAGAAGCCTACATTATTAGCTGTAAAAAAAGGTATCACTTATGCGACAATTACAACATTTTTAATCGTGTGCACAAAACAGAAAAACACTGTTTTGAGAAAATCGCGTTCAAAGTTCTCGCGCCCACGTATCAGTCCACTGAAATTGTCTCTCAGAGGCCATTTCTGCGGATCGATTAGGAATTAGACTCTGAAATTTTATGAATATATTTCTGATAGAATGAGATGAGTAAAAAAGGTGATTTTTGGGAATTTTTATTAAAAAAAAATACTTTATCAATTATTTAAAAATTTTAAGAATATATTTATACATATTTCAAGAATATACAATGAAATTTTTGAAAAAATCTAAAATATGAAAAATTGACAATATGGCGGCGTTTTAAAAAAATAGTCGAATTTTACCCAAAATTTTGGTCTTTTTAGGCCTGTCAAAATTCGATTTTTTTGATCAGATGTACGGAGAAATATATATAGAACATGTAAAAAAATTCAATAGTGATCGGATCATTTGTTTTTGAGTAATCCCTGCAGCAAATTTGGAAAATGCTCTTTCGAGAGAAACGCGTTTAAAGATAAAATGATCGTTTTCACTCGTAGCTAATGAGACTCTCTAGCTGCCGAGCGGCTGCTCTTTAAATTGCTATAACTCAAAAACTATTTGAGATATCGGTTTGAAATTTTAATATGTTATTTTCAAAGGTGTAATCTACCAAAATATGAAAAGAGATCGATTTTTTGAAATTTCATACTAGGTGCGCCCTTTAATTTTTGCGGTCATCCAGTTTTGTATGTAATGGCATTTCTTCCAGCTAAACTGAGATGATATCACTTTTAATTTCATTCTTCTGCTTTTCAGCATTAAACAATGTACGAGGTTATCCATTTTGTATATACCATATTTTTTTATTGCTTTTTAGTAATGCATTGTTTTTATCAAGAATTAAATTATATAGTATTTTAATCTTATTGTGTCATTTCTCTCTTCCAGTGGCCTTTCCTGTGTCCAAGCTTGATTTGCCCGTATATATCAACTTTTATGAAAATTGATTAAGGTAAAATCTGACGTATGTTCCCTTAATAACTACATTTATCTACATGTGTACATACATACGTGCATATTTACATGTGTTTCAATGCTAGTAAAAAGCGGTAGCGGTAATTTAATTGGTTTGTTTTTATAATTGAGCTTTATTTTTAGCTCTCTCGTTGTGCTCCATATTTTAATTATAATTAAAAAGTTTGTTTTTGGAATTTACACAAGTATATATGTATGTATGAAAATCGGCACATGTGTGCGACTAAATATAGTAACAGTATAAATTTTCTTAATAGATTGTCATTTTGTAAATTGCTTGGTTCATTAGTTTGCTATAAGCATTTGCATTTGTTGTTAGTGAGCAGTTTTTTAAATAAACATTTTGTAAAAAAAATCATTTTTTAAAGTATATGAGTTGCTTTTAATAATTTTCCAATGTTAATATGATTTTTCAACACAATTCATGTAGCTATCTCTGCACATACATGCATACAGCCATGGCCAAAAGTATTAGGCACCCCACTAAATACTGAGTTTGGAAATAAAAATGACAATAATTCAAAAAATGAAAATATTTTAAGTATAAAGAAAACAGATTTGTTTATTGAGCTGCTCTAGGTTACACTAGGTTACTCTATCTAATAAAATTGTAATTTATGACACTTCTTCGCTCTTAATTTCTCTACTCTTTGTTTCATGAGTCTGCTCTAGGCAAAAATAGAGCACGATTTTTTGCTCTGTAGAGCAAGACAGACCTGCTGCCAAGTTTTTATTTAAAAAATTTACTATAGCAAAAAAACGTTGATTAAATAAAAATTTAAAGACAACAACTGGACTACTCTGAACTTATTCTCTTCTCCTCATAATTAAGCCATTTTATATAAGTATTGGACATACGGCTTATAAAATAAAAAACCCTTGAAATAATTCGGCTTGCAGTTCCAATAGATACATTAAAACGATCTCCAATATCTCGAATGGAGCAGGCTTCATGCCCCGCAAATACGAAAATGCATCATAAACTCTTCATCTGTGTACTTTGAATTACTTCTTTGAAGTGTTCCAAAACTCACCTAGGGCTGGACCATGTATTCCTTCTCTGCGTAACACCTGAATAATCCCAAAATTACTCCATGAAGGACCTACGGTGGGTTATATTATGGAATATATGTATACGACAAATGCTGTTAGGATATAATTGTTAGTATCCAATGTAATTCGCTTTGATTACAACATGCATATTTGAATTTGCTCATTTGGTCTGCTTATGCGCATCCTCTATGTACTAGCAAAGCTCACCAACGAAACGTAACGCAACTGACCATATGAAGTAATCCAATGGGTACTCCACAGTAGTCAACTATTGGGTCATCACCCTGTTTTTAGCTGATGAGTGGTCGTGTTTTAACGATCGCAATTACTAAAGGAAGTTGGAGTTGCGCGCTAAAATCGTGTTTGGTGAGCTCTGCTGCCTACGAATATATGGACAATGCAAATAGAATAATTGCGTAAATTGAAAAATGTTAAATATTTATCAGTAGTAAATTACTTTTAATATAAGTTTATATAAAGCAATATTATGTAACTGTCTACCAAAGCGGGTTGCATTCGAAACTAGAAAGTACGTTCGTATGTTATTTTTGGTTGGAGTTGGATATGGTCCAGCCCTAGGACATCCCAAAGTTAATTTTTTGTTTGGAGTGTGGTTAGTTGCGGATGACTCCATTGCCCGTGTGGATGTGGAGTATTTCACTCGTGCATGACTAGTCGCGCCGTTTACGAGGTTATAGTTCTTGCTACTCTTCACTACTCTTTACTTCAGCAATGTTTTAATAATATAAGAATGCAATAGCCGCAATACCCGAGTGGTTAGCATTGCCTACTGTCATTCTGAAAGCCAGGGTTTGAGTCCTGCTTCAATCAACATCTAAACATATAGAAAATTAATTTTTCTAAAGCGGTCGCCCATCAGCAGGAATGACAGCCGCTCCGAGTGTGTATTCGACATGAAATAAAAGTTCCTCATAAAAATCCGTCTACCATTCGGAGCTGGATTAGTATAAACTGTGCATCTCTCCATTTGTTGGAAAACTTCAAGAGCATACCACACATTGGAGGAGAAGCTCGGCTGAAAATCGTTATACTCACATTTATGTATATTCATTGTACGCCATGTAGATCTTTGGTATTACTAAATTGAATAACTTTGTCTGTCTTTAGGCAATTTGGACAAATGTACATGATTCTGAAACATCATTCAGCACCATTTTAACCATAAGCCAAAACACAATTTGAAAACAATCGTTCAGTTGTGTAAACAGTGCGTGTTTTATGGAATAAAATTTTGATGACGAATGATGCTCATTTCATCCTCTCCGGTGGAGTCAAGAATCAAAACTGTCGAATTTGGGGAACAGAAACCCCACCTGTCATTCACGAAGCACCACTGCGCACTCAAAAAGTCATTGTTTGGGTCGGAGTTGCTCGAAAACTATTATCGGACTCGACGGCGCTCGCGGTGAAAAGAGAGTTCTTCCAGACTTCAAAAAATTTCACTCATGAATCAAGCACTCTGATATAGCCACAAGCATCAAAACTTAATTAGAGACAATTTGGATTGCCGCAATAGCCGAGTGGTTAGCATTGCGTAGTGCAATTCGGAAGACCAGGGTTCGAGTCCTGATCCGACAATCACTCAAAAATTATAGAAAATTAATTAACTTTAGCTGATTTTTCATCGAATTCTTTAAAGAACCTAAGTCAGCATCTTACATTATTTCTTTAGCTCATTCTTCTTTGTTTTAAAAAACCTCAATGTTTTGGATTTTCATTGCTGATTTTTAAGCGAAAATTGGAAGCGATCTCTTATGAAAATTCCCTACATTCAAATACCGTATACTAGGTCAGCGTGTCGTTGTGTACTGTAGCAAACCTAGAGAATTGAAGAGCATAAAAAAGAAAACTAAAAAATTTAGGTTTATAAATTTCAAGTCAAGTTAAAAGTATGAAAAACTTAAAAAGAGAAATTCTCACTCAAGCAAAATCACTTTTACTACTCGCTGATTATACTCAAGAGTTTTTTTCCTTAAGAAACTTCAAACCATTGAAAAATCACTTTCAACTAAAGAATAAAAAATGTATACTATATTATATGTTTATAGATGTACATATGTATGTTTATGTGTGACATCAATTGTAAACAAGACTGACAAGTGTCTTACTGTTAACCTGTTTAGGGCAATTAAGAGAATCATTTTTTCCCACTTCGACAGACGTAGACAACAAAAGAAGCCGATGTGAAACGGAAAAACAAAACCTTTTACAAAGATGAGAAAGAGAAATAGAAGAAGAAAGGAAGAACGCAACTTAGTTGGGTTCGGGGTTTTCAGTTGTATGACGATTTTTTGTTGGTTTTTAATAGCAGTTTTTGTAAGTGCAGTTAACGTCATGGTCCAGCGACTGACTTTGGCGAAACTACAAAAGAGGCGGAGGGTTGGCGTAAGGGACTCGGGTGCGGGCTGCAATTTGCTGTCCTCAACTGAAGATTAGAAAGTCATTCAGGTTGCCAAACCAATGCTGTATTTTCCAAGCCGAAATATTTGCAGAGCTACTACAGGGAACTGACCCATATATATATCATTGGCGCTTTGCAACCGGTGAAGAGATTTTTCGGCCGAGTTCCTCCTCCAATTTGCGTCTTGAAGTTTTTCCAACAAATGGACGGAACTACAGTTTATACAAAGCCGCCTCCGATGGGCTGATTGTTTTTTAGGAGAAGCCTTTATTTCATGTCCGAAATACACTCTGGTGGATTGACATTTGCCTGCCAAGAGGCGACCGCAATTAACAAATCTAATTTAATTTATTATTCAATACACAATAGCAACAAGATGGCCAAGGAATTGCAAAAAAAATGGAGACATTTCAGAACAGGACATAGTCATGGATTTACGTTTTTATTTAGAAGAGTGAAGCTTCAATGAGAAGAACTCTTGTATCGTTCAGTTAATGGACTCCAAAAGGGTCAGATTTCAGGGTAATAGAAGAACAAATTAGAAATAGTTGATGACAATGTACATATGAGTGCAGGAAAGGCAAAGAACATGAGAAGCCCGAACGCGAATGCCCGACGCATAGAAGCCGGTATCTGATTTTACTTGACGTGGATAAGTTGATGGATCTTCAACCAATGGCCAAACACCAACTTCATATCGCTAAAGGTAGAGTAATATTTTTTAAATTAGAGACACAGGTGGAAATGTAGGAGCACCGGGCTTTGGTCGTATGTAAGGTTTCTGGTAAAATTAGGGACTTTATATCGTCTATGTGGGACTTCTCATTCTAATCTAACCAACAAAGCCTAACGTTACGAATATTTTATTTTTTTTTTGACCGAATATTACAGGGTTTTGACAAACATCGTAAATTTTTAGATTCTAAAAATGAATTTTTACTTTTCTTCCTAAGATAATAACCCATTTTCAGCAGTCTAAACATTTTCATAAATAATTGGAATGTTGACCAGTCTAATTTCTCAATTTAACATGGAATCTTTTAAGGTATTCTTTGCGCGGCTATAAGCAAACAAAATAAATATACCTCAATAGTCATCGTTGTAGGGTTTGAAAATCAAAAATTTAAGATGTTTAAAAAAAAAAGCTAAATAACCCGCAACAACAAAACTGGAAAACCAACACATCGAAAAAATATATATTAAAAGAAACAAGAAAAGAAAACATTAAATGCCTGGGCTAAAAAAATCATCAGTCAGAAATTTATGTACATATATACTTATAATAAATAATTCATACACTTCACTGTGATTTCTTCAAGATGCTGCGTAGGATAAGAGATAAGCTCATACATTAAATCTGAAATGCTGATAAGTGAATATGACGGATTTATATAATTACATGTAAGAACCAGTGTGCGTACATACATATAAGTTCATAATAATAAAAATGAAAAAAGCATCCGATGAAAGCATCAGAACATAGGACTGAGAATGGTTAAGTT